AGGCCAAAGGGGAGGGACTCTCAGTCTCTTCCCTGACTGGGGAGGGCGCGGGGTCCCGCTGGGTCTCCGCAGCCTCGCTTGGCCTTGAGGAGGCGGCGGCGGCGCTCGTCCATCTCCACCTCGCCCCAAGCACAGAGCACGCCAGGCGCGAACCCCATCCCACGTTAGCCCCCTGCTGGGGCTGAGGGCTGAACAGGCCCAGCAGGGCAGTGCGGGGGCTGCTGGAGCCTGGAGGGGGAAGTTGGGGAAGCGGTGGCATGGCCTCAACCCCTTGGGGCTGCCTGCCCCACGGAGGAGGCAGAGGGGCGCAAGCCGCAGCAGGACCCCTGCCCCCCGGGAGAGGGGATATGGGGCCAGCCCAGGAAGGCAGGAGCAGCCCTGGGTGTGCTGGACACGTGCAGGGCAGAGCCCCAGGAGAGCCCCAGCCCCATGATGGGAAGCACTGCAGAGGAGGAGCCCGCGGCAGGTGAGGGGAGCCCCAGGCAGGGGGAGTCAGGCCGCCCGCACCCACCTCTCGCGGCCGCTCCATGCTGCTCCCAGTACCAGCCCCACTGCTGCAGTTGCTAGTGCCGCTGCTTTCAGCTTCCTGTGCCTGACACTGCGCCACCCCACCGCGTTGACCAGCCCCTATCCCCCCCTTGCCTGCAGGAGTTCAGCGCGGGCCGGCAGGCCAAGCTTCAGAGCAGAGCGTGGGCTGGGCCCCACCCACTGGCGCCATGGTTACCTAAGGCGCCTCTTTTGGAAAATGTGGTGAGTGGAAGCGTCTGCTTCCCCTGCACCCCACTAGCTACGCTACTGGCATCACTTCCCCAGCCCTGAAGCTGCTGCAGCCAGGGACAGGCACCTCTCCCCTGGCCCCAGCCCTGGAGAGGTTCCTCTCTCCTGATACTGGAGCTGCCGCAGCGGGGAAAAAGGTGCCTTTCCCCTGGCCACAAGCTGCTGCAGCAGGAGAAGGCTGTGGGGAGTCCTCTCTTCCTGCCAGAGCCCCAGGGCAGCCTGCACCCCAAACCCTTCATCCATGGCCCCACCCCATAGACCACACCCCCAGCCAGAGCCCTCACCCACCACATACTCCAACTCTATTCCCACACCCTGAGCCCCCTCCTGCACCCTGAGCCCCTCATCTCTGGGCCCACCCCAGAGCCCTCACCCCTAACCAGAGCCCTCAGCCCCCACACTATAACCCTCTGCCCCAGCCCTGAGCCCCTCACAACCCCAAACCCTTCATCCCTGGCCCCACCCCAGAGCCTGCATCCCCAGCCAGAGCCCTCACCCTGTGCACCGCCACCCTGTGCACCAGCCCTGAGCTGCCTCCCACACTCCGAACCCCTCGGCCCCACCCCCGCCACACATCACCTCTATACTGGTGCACATAACAAAATTCATTCTGCACATGAATGTAAAAAATTGGAAGGAACATTGGTTCAGGAGTTCACATCTGTTACTGTCTTGGTGATATCGACTTGTCGAACGCACCACCAGTTTGGGGTATTGCCTTGTTTCTCATCATTCTCCCGGAGGTGGGCACTCAGAGCTGTGAGCCACTCCAGACAGCGCAACAGGGATCATGAGATCAAATAGTTTGACCTTCTGTAAAACAGCTGAATAGAGCCTAATAACTTGAGTATGATGTAAGCATAGCTTCCAGAAAGGCATCCGGTCTAGACAGGAAGACTTCAAGAGATGCAGAATGCACCATTTCCCTGGTACTTTGTTCTGATGGTTAATCACCCTCCCTGTTAAAAACCTGGGCCTTATTTCTGATGTGAATTTGTCTGGTTTCAGCTTCCAGCCATCGACTCTTGTTCTGCCTTTCTCCGTTAGATTAAAGAGCCCTTTAGTAAGTGGTATGTTCTCCTTGTGACAGAACTTATGTACTGTAATCAAGTTACCTCTTGATCGTTTTGATAAGCTAAACAGATTCAGCATCTTAAATTTCTCACCGTAAGGCTTTTATTCAAGCCCTCAGATCACTTTTGTGGCTCTTCTCTGCTCCCTCTCCAATTTTTGTGGACATCAGAACTGGACACAGTATTCCAGTATCTGTCTCACCAGTGCCATATACAAGAGTAAAAATTAGTCCTGATTCCTACTCACTACTCCCCTGTTTATACATCCAAGGTTCACATTAGCCCGTTTTGCCACACACAACACTGGGAGCTCATGTTCAGTTATTTCTACACTAGGACCCTACATCCTTTTCAGTCACTGCTTTCCATGATACAGTCTCCTTCAGATACCTGAGATGCAGCATTCTAACATTAGGGAAATCTTGCAATATCTCCAATATCTCTGGGTGGGAGCTGAGGACTTTCTAATGGTGACCCTGGTAGGTAGTTACTCAAGGGAAAGGGAGGCAGAGACAGTCAGGGAAAGTATCATTCTCAGTGACCTCCTTAAACATCTGCCCGCTCCATTAAATCCCCTGGTAACATGGCTCACAAGAGCATTCACAGAACAGACCTGAGCAGACAACTCCCGCGTCCTCTTTGTGTCTGCAGTTGTGCTGGCCCCAGCCTCTGGAAGGACACGCCCAGATATCGGATTCATTCCCAGAGCAGTTCACATCATCCAGCCAGATCTGCCCTGGTCCTTGCCCATAATGAGCAGAGACGGTTGCATTGATGGCATGTCCACATCCCAGTTGTTTGCAAACGACATTGGAGTCTGGCAGGTCCCAGGAATCATCACAGACTGTCCCCCAGGTGCCATTGTAATAAATCTCCACTCTACCGGCACAGTGACCTGCCCCATTCACCAGTCTGATCCGCCTGCTCCCTGCAGGGATAGATCCCAGTTGTTAATGTGCAATATAATGAGAACTAAACAGCTTCCATGCAAATCAATGATGATGCTACAATGGCTGAGATACTGAAAAATGTGTGTCTTTAACCAGAAACATAAAGAGAAGAAGTCAGTAGAATTAGGAAATGCTGAAGACTTTGTGAAGAAACTTCTGATAAAAAGCATTTAAAGGGACAGGACCTAATCCTGAACCTTTAGTCATCTGAGTCATCCTTATAGGACAGCTCTTGAAAGTAAGAACTACTAGTGAAGCTAAAGCTTTGCAGAATCAGCTCCTACTTGGAAAACTTGAACATTTTCAAACAGGTCTTCTAAGGATTCACAAGAAATATCATATTAACTAACCAATTTATCAGAAATTCCAATTTTCTTTTAAATTGTTACAGACTTGGGAGGTTCCAGAGGCTTGGAGAAAATTAGACTTGGGACCCATTTATTTTCCAAATAAAGGAAGAAAGGCAGGTGGATACATGTACCTACGGTAAAGTCAAATAGACTTAGGGCTCTATTCTAATGCTGCTAAAGTCAATAGCAAAGCTCTCCCTGCCCTAATGGGAGCGGGAATGGGCCCTTACTGTGCCATAGTTACCCTAGAACTGGAATGGGCATGAACAATGATTTCAGTGCAGTAACAGTACAGTGCATGATACAGGTGTTTATTAAAAAATCTGTTATTTGAAGAAAGCCATTATTTATTTACCTTCCCCAGAAAAGAAACATAAGAACATAAGAGCTGCCAGCCTGGGTCAGACCAGAATTCTGTCTGCAAAAGTGGCCTGTACCAGAGCCGTACTCTGATCATCTTAGCTAATAGCCATTGATGGACCTATCCTCCAGGAACTTATCCAGTTCTGTTTTGAACCTAGTTATACTTTTGTCCATCACAACATCCCATGGCAATGAGTTCCACAGGTTAGCTGTGTGTTGTGTGAAAAAGTTCTTCCTCTTGTTTGTATTAAACCTGCTGCCTATTAATGTAATCAGGTGATTCCTCGGTTTTGTACTGTGTGAATGGG